GTTGAGGAAACATGCGTAATTGGTGATTAACTAGCTATGTTATATTGGGTTATTGAGGAAGTTGCCATGATGCGAAATCACTTGCTACCACCTTTCAATTAACGTAGACACACTTATAACTATATATATTTAGTCATTATATATCATGTTACACAAATCTTGATATCTACTTTCTGTCTTTGACTATTACAATTATCTGCAGAAAATCAAGTAAACAGCTGCATATTTTGATAAAGAATTTATGAATGAAAATATAACAAATAGCCCCTGATATATTTCCTTCTAGTTCTCCATTTCTTGGCTTAAATAACATGATGCAAGCTGGCAAATATTAGTTGAGTTGAGTGAGTGAGTGAGTTTAGTTCACGCCACTTTTAGCAATACTTCAGCAATACTGCAGCACTGGACACCAGGAGCAAGTGAGTGAGTGAGTTGAATTCACTAACAAGGGTAACTTAAAAACACATCCAGTTCAAACTGGCTTCTGAGGTGAGGTGAAATTGGGTTTAACATCATGCTTGAGAATATTTCGCTCATATGACGACGCGCATGCATGTGTGTGTGTGTGTGTATGTGTATGTGCGGCTGCTTGTACTAGCCCAGACTTAAGCTGGTTTTATAGTGCTGGGATACCATGCCGTAGTAAAGCATGAGTACCCAACTCAGACACATAATACTGACTCCGAGCCGACCAGTCCTTTTACCCATTAATGCCGAACGCCAGGCAGGGACCAACAAATACCATATTTTAACGTCTTTTGGTATGACGCGTTGGGGGATCAAACCCGCGACCTTCCGCTCTCCGGGCGGGCGCTCTAACCACTATACCACGGAGGCGGTCCAACTGGCTCCTGAACCACAATCATAGGAACAATAGTTATCATTATTAATAATTCTAAGATTAACTCTATCACAGCACTGGCACAAATCCTGTATTTTGACTGCAATCATGCAAAATTATTCTCAAGAATTTTCAACAGAAATTCTATTAACTGTCAACTACACATGACTAGTTGTCAAGATGATAGAACTCCTTGTTAAAAGTTGAACAATACTCACTTCTTTAACTTTTCCACCTTGTTAATGTTTTGTGCAGCCAGAATTAATGATTTATGGCAATGATGTAATAGAGGTACAGGTTTCAAAAGAATGATATGTTTTGGGCATGCCCAAGGGATGCAATTCTGTGAGAGCAAATTGCAGTGCCCTAGATGGCCACACCACCCTTTGAAGATTGAAAATTGTTATTTTGAAATTAACTGAAATATGTGTAACTGTGTGGATATGTTACTAACCAACCAGTTTACAAAGTCATCTCAAAGCCTCGAGTAACATTTTAGAGCTCATAAGAGCTACAACTACATCTTTTTAAGAAACTGTTTTCGACAGACATTAAAGCAATATCAACAGAAAGACTGTCAAACTCAGCACAGTTTGGCACATCCATTCGAATGAAATAATGTTTCCATATGAACGAATGGCTGGGAAAAGAGATGGTTCACCCATTAAACACTATGTTTGTGTGACCTTATACTTTCTTATCATGAAATTATAGGGGTATATTTCTGTGATAAGAAATTGAGCTTGAATAAAGTAAACAATATTCAGCTAAATACCAGTAGTCATCACCAACTGTGTAAACATCCTCTACAAGTTAATGATGTTTACCATGCACAGAATAAACCACTGCAGAGGAGTTACCACAAAACCCCTGTGGTTGTAAGCAGTGACTGAGTGAGTGAGTGAGTATGGTTTTACTCCGCTTTTAGCAATATTCCAGCAATATCACGGAAAGGAGACGCCAGAGGTTGTAAGAAAGGAGGTTGCACAAAACCACATTGGTTGTAAAGAAAGAGGTTGCACAAAACCACATTGGTTGTAAGGAAAGAAGTTGCACAGAATCCACAAAACCCTGGTTGTAAGGAATGGTTCTTCAAGAGTTTCCACTCTTCCCTCAACCCCTTCCCTCCATCTTTTAAGTAACTGAGAAGGCAACTCCCATCAACCCACAAGAACTCAATACACAACTTGTTCCACCCCGGAAGTAACTCATGAGACATCTTCCTCCACCCCATAAGTAACTCATGAGACAGCTTCCTCCACCCCATAAGTAACTCATGAGACAGCTTCCTCCACCCCATAAGTAACTCATGAGACAGCTTCCTCCACCCCATAAGTAACTCATGAGACAGCTTCCTCCACCCCATAAGTAACTCATGAGACATCTTCCTCCACCCCATAAGTAACTCATGAGACATCTTCCTCCACCCCATAAGTAACTCATGAGACATCTTCCTCCACCCCGTAAGTAACGGGCTGGCTGGGTCCAATCTTGCTTCAACCGCCCCCTGATAGGGAAACTGCCTATCCATCCCAGAACTTGTATAGTGGAGACTGGACTACCTCCCCCCTCCCCTCCTGTGGCTGTACAAACACCATCAGAGGAGGTAACATCCTTGTTATTGTAAGATGACCTCCACTGATCTGGTGAGCTAACCCGCAGGAAGCTGAAGGATGCCTTGACCCTCATAATGCACAGACCAGGGACATTTGGAGGAAATGAGCAAAAGATGCTTCCTTGATAAAATTTGATGTAAAACACCCTTGCATAAACTAAAAGCAGACTGAGATATTAATAAATTCTGACATTAACAGCACATGCAATTCATGCTAATAGCCCATGACTTGAGCAGGGTGACAATGCACCATTATCTTGGGAGCATGAGATCACCCTCGGTTTATAGACTACCTCCAACCTTCCCAGACTCAATAAATATCCCAGACTCAATAAATAAGGTAATCTCATAGTTTATAGCTCCCCATGATTTGCTAGAATAGTTACAACCAGCAAGGCATAACCATTAAGCTGGATATGAATTTCTTGATAATTTGTACCCTTTCATTAAATTGATCAGTACAATGACAGGACACTAGTTAGGATATCAAAAGTAGATATGGAACAGTACATTCATTATAAAGAATCAATTGAACAAGAAAACCTTTGCTTTGTCCTATTCATGAATGTTTCTGTTATATAAAGGTATGTCCTTCCTGTAAGTCAGAACCACTGAAGGATGAAGACAAATCCTCTCACTGGAGCAGGATTAACCATTACACTGACACAGACACAACATGATGAAATATGACACATGCCTATATTGCCTAATATTTCCCACATGATCCATATACATAATGGCATCATCTGGATATATGGTGTTATTCAACTGCTAAAGAGGATATAAGTGTTATTCAACACACCTTTGGAATATATTTTATTATTCAACAGTTATATGAAGTGAGAGCATATTCTCGGGGTGAATGCCCTGCTGGCAGTTAGTGTCACTACTGCAAATGACAAGTTTGTACACCACTGTCAGATATGTCAGAAGCACTAGTGTCAACACCAACCTGGGTGCCGTTGTACAAAACAACCTTAACGCTAAGACTACCTTAAGTCCATGTTAAGATAAGGGAGTTACAGTAACCTTAGCTCTAAGATCGTTTTGTACAATGGCACCCTGTATTTTAGCAAAGTATAGGCATGAAACAGACACATGTAGAGTACAGACACTGGCTATGCTCACATAATGTAACATAAAGGTTACTGACATCATAATCTGAGTTAATTCATGACAGAAGTACCTTTCTAAAACTCATCTCAGATTCCAACCCAAAGGATCGCAGGCAAATTGGGAAAAATATATCATTTTCTCACTGATTGTTATTTTTTTACCTGATTAAGTATTTCTCTATTTCAATATATGTTTGAATCGTATTTCAACTTTTTTAAATGATCCAGTTGTCAGTGAAATACAAGTCACACTGCCCAAGCCATCAGATGAGGAATAACAAGATTAACATTAATTGGAAAAATGTACTTCCTATTTTGGGAAATATTACTGACAAATGCTGCACATTTAGGGATGATTGTCTGAGCAGGTGTCTTGTTTGCTGTTTCATGCAGCCCTCAGCAAATTTCCAGCTATATGATGGCAGTCTGTAAACAATCAAATCTGGACCAGACAATCCACTGAGTGACATCATGACTGAGCAGGTGTAGATAAATCCCTGTCTCTGGTGAAAATACAGTCTGAGACATAAATATATATCTTCTGCAAACATACCCGTGAAGATCGGGGTTAGAATTGGTCTTCAGTAACCCATGCTTGTCATAAGATGCAACTCATGGGATCGGGTGGTCAGGCTTGCTGACTTGGTTGACACGTCATCGAATCCCAATTGCATAGATTGATGCTCATGCTGTTGATCACTGGATCCCAAACTCGATTATTTACAGACTTGATGCTCATGCTGTTGATCACTGGATTGTCAGGTCCAGACTCATTATTATTTACAGACTATCTTAAGTTATATAGCTGGAATATTGCTGAGTGCAGCAATAAACAACAAACCAAACCAATCTGCAAACTGACTGACTGAGTTTGGTTTTACGCCGCTTTCAGCAATATTCCAACAACATCACGGCGGGGGACACCAGATATGGGCTTCACACATTGTGCCCATGTGGGGATTCGAACCCGGGTCTTCGGCGTGACGAGCCAACGCTTTAACCATTAGGCTACCCCACTGCCCCCAATCTGTAAACACCTTTACAGCCAGTGTGAAGGGATAAGCAAATAGTCTGATTCTATGATGCTTTTATCAGCATTTCCAGCAGCATCACACCAAGTATATGGCACTGGTGCTCATCTTGCACCAAGATTGCGGTTTGGTCTGTGCTGTTACAAAATATTTCATTATTTTATAATATATTTATTTTGAAATATTTTCCACCTGCATTTCATCTGCCAGACAAGGAAAACTGCAAACATGTACATGCATTTCGCTGCAGCATAAACCAAGGACAATAGCCAAATCTTTGAAAGGTATGATGTGACAACTGTTTGACAAAACTAGCTGTGAACAAGTAGCCACTAAAGGTGTTGTGAATGACACACTGCAATAGTCATGTCATTACTCTGTAACACTCGTATCTACAGAACACACCACCCTTGATACTGATTGATGGATGGCCAGCCATGGCTGCAGGCTACCAGTGTCTTGAAGTCAATGTCCTCTATGGCCATTGGACCATGTCCACTGCCACTAAGCGTGAATGAACTGGTAAGTGTCAGTGAGTGCTTTCAAACGTAAGTAGATCTGAAGAATTGTGCAATGTTACGTAAATGTTGATTCCACACATAACTGTGGTCTATTGTTAGTGCAAATGAATAAAAACGTATTCATCTTGGTTTCTTGTAGAAGAAACATTAATTTCATTATTCACAGTGAGTGGATGAATGAGTGAATGAATGAGTGGATGAGAGAGTGGATGGATGGGTGGGTGATTCAGTGAGTGAGTGGATGAGTGAGTGGATGAGTGGGTGATTCAGTGAGTGAGTGAGTGTGGTGAGCTTAACATTGCTGTTGAAACATATTTTTTCTTGAAAAACGTGGATATACTTAAACATGAAACAAAAACTAAATTTGTCTAAGTCTACAAAGAGTGGAAGCTTCTGTAATTATCACTCAATTTGCTTATGTGTGAAACAGAATTACTAATCTTACAAAAACATACTTAAACTTGACATGTCTCAAAATGCCAAGGACAAACTCCACGATACCATTTTAATTATTTCTTTCACAACTCCAAGATAGCTACAAACTTCACAAGACAAGAATCTGGCAACAGATAATGATTTCATGCCTTAAGGCAAACCAAACATCTTCAGCCTATGTCAACAACCTGCCTGGCCAGTGAAGCATGTCCACTAATTGAGGGCAATAATTGAGATGCTCTGATCACTTCATCACAGATTCCTCCATGTCAAACACACTGAAGATGATGAGATTATCTCATAACCTAATTGAACTAATCAGTGGTATTGGTCTGGAAGGTCACCACTAAAAGGAACATTTTGCTATGACAGGCGATAAGTTAAACTAGTGCAATGGATAGATCAATATATAATAAATATATTTCAATGCAATATTGTGCCAAACATGGTTCTGATTCTTACCAAATATAATTGATTGCAACAATGTTGAGGTATATTTGATGTCAATAATAAAAATAGTCTCCCATAGCCAAACCAATTCTGTATATTAGATTTCTAGATGCTCATTCCGATATGTAGACACCTCCTCATTTGAAAGATATGTAAGTATACCAGTAGGTGAGCTCTGTTGAATCCTTTAATATGTCATTTCCAGTAGGATGTCCATGTCTTTGTATAATAATACGTAAAATATATTTTCTAGATAGACTGAAAAGATTGATAGTACACAAACTGTGATATCTATCATCACTTTTTAAATCTATTTTCATATAAGATCAGCTGATATTTGCGTTAATGACAATTAAATTAACAAGTCCCACAAATCCATTCCCTGTATATTTCTCTGTTTCCTTGGAGTGTGAGTACATTTACATAAGTACATGGTAAGTCGCTCTTCACCCCCAGCAGAGGACTGCATTAAGTGACACATCAGTTGATCCGATTACCATAATCATATTGTACCTGATGCAATAGCTGGAGGCAGAGTCAACAAACTGCCTGCTCATTCAGGTGTGTCGCTCATCTGTATGTCCATAGGTAAATGCATGGAGTTTGATGAAGCAAACATAAATATGCAATTAGAACAAGTCTCTCCAGTCTTTAGTAATGTACCCTCCCAATGAATAAACATGTTGGATAAAGACGTTGAATACAGCCGTTAAATAAAGATCTTATTCATGAAAGGTTCATTGATATCAATTATGTCCTATACATTTTCTGCTGACTCCATAATACATTGATATGCTGTACAATATTATGCACAGGCATGCTATAGAAGATCAAGCAAACGACACTGATGTATTTGGACCTAAAGCTTTATCACACTTCATATGCACTAACCATCAGTGAACTGAATGTGAGAGCAGATTATACATATTCCTGATTTTATCAAATCTGGTAAAAGCCATATTTAATACTGACTGAAATTCTTGTTTCTTTGTCATGAAGAAGAAAGTTAACCCCTAAACCAATTTGATCCCACACATTTCCATGGTCACTGAACCCCATTTACAGACTTACATCTTTCACCTATAGTTAGGTCAGATTACACAAGCAGAGGTCAGTGAACTTTCCCTTTGCCGACAACCCATCAAATGTACCATGGCCATTACTTATTGTCCCATCTACAGGTAGGGCATAGAAAGTCCATTCTCTCAACCTTTGATTTCCTGCTCATCTGTATAGGACATGTGATAAACTTGGCCCCCTGGTGGCAATGAAACAGGTGTGAGTCACAACACTTAATTAAATTGGTCTTTGGCTAATCCCCATGATGCAATGCCAGCCAATAGCAGTGTAACATGCAGAATTTACTACACTTTCATTGATTCATTTAAACCTAGGATTCAAAATGTCATCTTCCCACAGAAGACTCTTGGGTAACTGAAAAGTTATGTTGAAGAAGCACATTGTCCTGACAAGAATCTCATTTACAGCCTATTGTGTTTAACATGACATATCTTCTTTGATGTAATATGTGTGTGACTTGAACATCTTGTTTTTTTCTCCATGGTAAAGTTGTCTTGTTTCCCAAAACATCTCACAAGTATACAACTTATTTAAACAATGGACGTCAGTGTAAACTTGTCCACATTGAACACTATTTTCAGTAATAGTTAATATTAATAACTTTTGCAAATGTCAAATAACCTTTCAGTTTCCGAAGTTAATTTTATTACTCATTCCTTTTTGCTGTTTTTAAAATAATCTGTTTTAAGAATGATACTAATCAGTTTCTCAACTCTCTGTTTTCAGACTGAACCACTTATCAGAAACTTCTACTGGGAATACAAGACTGAAGTATGATTTGCTACACATGTCTTCCACTTGTCTATGAACAAAGGCAGACCTCATTATTGTCAGTAATAGCTCTGTGAAGTAACTGAAACAAGGAAATAAAACTTCAGAGTCTGAGAAAGTAATGATGTGAAACCACATTGACTCGGCTTTGAGGAAAAGATTACTACCATGTGTCTAAATAATTGTTAATCATTGCATACAAAACACATGGCATCAATGCTCTAATATCCATTAAGATTGATCATTGATTTGTATCAAAGTCCACAAACAGTCCTCTGACCATAGAATGGGATTGAAAGGATTAAGCCCTTTCTGTACTACAATGAAGCCCATGCAGGAAGATGCAATGTTATTTCGAAGTGATCATTACCTATTCAAACCAGCAAAAGCAGAATAAATCATTAGATGCAATGCCTCGTAAAAAGCAATCAGGTAATGTTAGATCTAGTGCTGTGTGGTCTATGTCCAAAGCCCTTGACTACAGTCCCATGTTTTTGTGACCAATAGCCCTAGGCACTGTGATCCAAACTTACAACATGCGTTGCATAATACTTATTGCAACTCTGTAGGTTATTAGGTTAATTAGAACAGTAAAGGTTGTTGACCTTTCATGACGTCACGTGACACCATACCTCAGCTGACATAGAGAAAGTGACAACTTATGCTTAGTGACATAGTTGCATTGCATTACCATGGCTAATATTATATATCCCCACTGGAGTTCTACAGGGTTATGCAACACCTCTGTTGCTATTCTTAGTTGGCTTATCTATACTGTCTTGGAGCATGGAATGGTTGGGCTATCTTAGTTTCTGTGGCTAAGTCACTGAGAGGGTGAAATCATGCCTTCAAATGGAATCCAAATAGTATCCTTTCCACACTTATCAAATTAACATATATGACATATTTAACATCCAACTTTTAACCTTTTTTAAAATTTACACATACAACAATTCTGTGGGCCTTGTTTAATACTCAGCATGTTGAAAACCAAAAGGAAAGCACATGTAGTTTCAATGTTGAAATGTAAAATTGTTAGTGTTACAGCAGCGACATGTGACTCAAAATTACTGAACTTCTGACACTGCTATAAAAGAAAGACACAATACACCCAAAAATGTAACTTAATGCTAAAAAATGTTCCACATTATAAGCCTGAAAACAATGTGTACATATAATCTATTTTATTGAAATATATGTAAATTGTGTTTTCTTACATTTTTAAAAAAACATGAAATGAAAACCTTTGAGTCCATGAGAAAACAAGACTTCTCCAAATGAAAAATGTGCTGTTCAGTAGGCACTCAAGCTAACTGTTCCAGGCTAATGTATTGTTTCTCATTTACTGGTTATAATTTATTCACAACAACCAAATACATGAACTTGACATCTAAATCTAACCTGAAACAAGTTCAGAAGCATTAATCTATCAACATAACTCTCAGCATTTAAATATCTAAACTGTAACCCACCAATCCAAGAAAAACCAAAAATACAATTTCCACAATTTTAAATGATTCTAATTTAGTCTACTAAGACTACTAAAATGAAAAAACAACAACCAAACATTAATGTCATTCTTTCCTTGCTATAAAAAAGAAGAACAAAATGTAAAATTTAATTTTCATTAAATTTATAAATTTAAAATCTCACCAGCAAACTGTCCTGGAAAGGCACCAGCAAGAGCTGCATAGGGGAATGCCGCTGGACTGGCAGCAGAGGTGGAACAATAATAATCCATATTTGACATATCCATATTGAAGTCAGTTGACTGTCATCCCAACCTAACAGGGCTGTGTCACCAATGAGACTAATCCAGTAGGGGGCAAGCTTCCACTTTTACTTCTAGTGACCAGAGAGAGCCCTATTGTCCAACCTCAACCTGTTTGCCGCTGCTCCAAATGGCTTCGGACAAACCACTGACCATACTGCCCCAGGCAATTAAAGATAAATTTAGAAACGGGCCAACACATAATCAGGCCCATGGCAGGGGGAAGGGCCCAATGATGTAACAGGCCATGACATTAATCTCATTCAAGGCCCAGGAAAGTTGGAGGAATGGTGGAAGGATGCTATCTATAAATATGCTGACAAGAGTCTGGAGCACATATTGATAAAGATGGACATGGCTTCAAATGTTCGGATGGGCAAGTATTACCTCACTGACTTTGTGAGACAAAGAGTGTCAAAACCTTCCTGAAATAACTTTATGAAAGTTAAGAATTGTATTACAAATTGAACATTGTATTAGCAGTTGTCAAACTTTTGCACCTGTGTAATTATTAAGTTGCATTTCCATAAATATATCCCACTTATTGATGCTTGGACCCCCACTATAGACAATGGTAGAGTCTGCCTGGTCAAGCTGACCAGGGGTGATTACAGGAAGAGGTTTGAACAGCTGAAGAATTCTTCTATCTATTGAATCTGTCTGTTCATTACCAGATGTTGGAGGCTAGCATTCCAACACAAATATCTCACTCCCACCTAGAGTAAACACCTTCCATCCATTCTCAATGTCACGAGCAGGGTATTCTTATTTCCCCACAATTTTCAACAACTAAAATTTACATTCAAACCTTCCTAGGTACCACATCTAATAATTGTTCAAATTTTTAGAAAAGATTAAAAGAAACTCCAGGAAGACATGATATTTCTTTTTCGAACGTGTGGTGTTAACAGCATCCTTCCCAACATGTGAATAGAAAAATGGCCATGTTGATTCTTAACATTCAAATGTGATAAGATTATAGCTACAAGTACCTGACTGAGTCATTAAGGGATTGTGAAGAAAACACACAATGAGAGCCCTAGCTCTGTTCGCTTTTACATCTATACAAGTCATTACATAATTGATATACAATACTTCTGTAAGTTCACTTCTTGCTGATATCTGCGGCAAAAGAATTAATGTTTCAGCTCTAAATGAAAATTGTAAAAGTATACACAAATCAGAAGTGCCTAGTGGATATTGTTCAACAACATATTGTGAAATTTGTAAGATATTCAATTTCTTGGATTCAAAACTGTTGTGCCTTCATACATTACAAACTGCTGTAAATACCATCTGCTTACAATGATGATATGCACTTGCTTATAAAATCAAATAAAAGTCAAAAAGAATTGTCAAAGAATGTCAAATTCAAGAATAAAGCGATAATGTCGTTAACTGATCTTAACATCTGAACAGCCTTTTGGACCAATTTGTTAGCCATGTAGCTAAAATGTAGAAGATGGTTGAATTGTATGTTTTTGAACTTATAGCTATAATGCTATGACAATTAAATTATTGCAATAACCTTACCAGAAATGTTTTCACTAGACATGAGTGAGATATTATGTTTAAAACACTATTGAGGATTCTGAAATGATCATGCTCATCTGACAACTGAAAGTACTTTCACAAACATAAGAACATGTTACAAGGAACAAGAAAATTTTAAAACTAGAAATACCTTGGCAACCTTATCAGTGGTTAAATAACTAGTCATTCTGTCATAAGATGGCAAATATCAAGGGAGAAATAGTCATAACCCAAGTTCCTAAGTTTCAATAAACTTGAACACAGAACTTCTACTCAGTTTTTGTTTTTCTCTCACCTGGATGAGTTGAGGAAAGTGATAATGTTGTTTGGAGAGAGAGAGAGAGAGAGAGAGAGAGAGAGAGAGAGAGAGAGAGAGAGAGAGAGAGAGAGAGAGAGAGAGAGAGAGAGAGAGAGAGAGAGAGAGAGAAGAGAGAGAGAGAGAGAGAGAGAGAGAGAGAGAGAGAGAGAGAGAGAGAGAGAGAGAGAGAGAGAGAGAGATTCTACTGAAAACAACAGACAGCATTTTGATTTAGAACATACATAAGCCTGTTATGTTACAAATCTTGTTTTATAATCTTACAACTAGTATCAATCTAAAATCTGACTTGTTATGATGTACTGTTCGCTGTGTTTCTGTCTATCTATATTGTCAAAGCTGTATTTACAATCAAGCTAATGTTTTAGTTCTGGGATCTGAAAACCAAACAAAAGAGAGCGGGATAAAAAGGAGACAAAATGCAACAATGGCAATATCTCCCGATGCTCAAGGGATACAACATTTCACCATTGCTTAAAGTGACAGTCACAACTTCATTTTAGTATTAAGGGCATGGGTAGAGTAACCGATGCATGTAATGAATGCTATTGCAGTTCCGATTTTGAGGAGTAGCATTATGATTATGCTCAGTTTCATTACAAGCAGTATTTATAGAGAACTCATCACTGACACCATAGGGTAAGAACACGATGACATCTAGACACTTCATCTTCATTCAGTGAATCATTTATCATGTCATATTATTTACTGTTATAAAATCATAAGCATATCAGAGCATCACATTGTGTGATTAATGCAAGCAAAAAGCTAACTCAAGCATATCAGAGCATCACATTGTGTGATTAATGCAAGCAAAGCTAACTCGAGCATATCAGAGCATCACATTGTGTGATTAATGCAAGCAAAGATCACTCAGCCAGATAAGCTTTTTCTACTTGGTTTACATTGTAACAACAAACCTTCTCTTTTACCACAACTCATGAACTGTATCAGTATATTCACAGGTTAATTATAGCCTGTTGGCATAGATACACATAGAGGATACTAAACAACCTTCTGTGTAATACAATTTTTATTAAATGAGTTAATGATTTGGTATCAAACGAGCAAAAGCGACTTTGATACTAAATCTTTCATGAGTTTAATAAAAATGGTATTTCACTGAAGCGAGTTTAGTATTCTGTTTATTACTCTCTAATATAAATTGACAGACACTGTCTACTAACACTGTTTTGACTTTCAGCTTTCCGCGAGTCAAGCAAGATCTAATACCATTGAGACAGAGGTATAAGCATTGTGACGTCAAACTGTAAAACATTATGACGTCATACGTCTAGCGGTATTACACTAGTGTAATATTGACGTATAAATATTACACTGCAGTATCTTCCATGGGATAAGCTTTTTTTACCACAACTGCTAAACTGTATCAGTATATTCACAGGTTAATTATAGCCTGTTGGCATAGTATCCATATAATAATGCTAAACCTTCTTTTACCACAATTGCTTAACTGAATTGGTTTTGCAGAGTTGGTTTTAGACAAAGTTAACCCTACAGAAATCAATATCACAATTCAACCTGTTTTTAGCTTTGGTCTTTTTTACCTCACCAGAAAAAGGATGTTCAACTCAATCAACTATGATCATCTGTAACAGTAGTCACACAGCTAGGTTTATGACAGTTGCACAATAAAGTTATTTAAATGATAGGGCATAACCAAATCATGTATCCCTTCTGTAGTCAATCAATTTTGCAAGTCTACTGAAGATAAGCATTTGTTTAGATAAAATTTATTATGAACTAACACAGCCTACTTGTTTGACATGATAGTTATGGCTGTATATAGTCTGACTGTGT